AAGATGTTCTGGGGTTGTCCCGTTGGGTGGTTCGGTTGGGAGAAGATGTTCTGCGGCTGTCCCGTTGGGCACAAGATGTTCGGGGGTTGTCCTGTTGGGTGGTTCTGTTGGGAGAAGAGGTTCTGGGGTTCTCCCATTGGGTAGTTCGGTTGGGAGAAGAGGTTTTGAGATTGTCTCTTTGGGCACAAGATGTTCTGGGGTTGTCCCGTTGGGTGGTTCGGTTGGGAGAAGAGGTTCTTGGATTGTCTCGTTGGGCACAAGATGTTCTAGGATTGTCCCGTTGGGTGGTTCGGTTGGGAGAAGATGTTCGGGGGTTGTCCCGTTGGGTGGTTCGGTTGGGAGAAGAGGTTCTGGGATTGTCTCGTTGAGAACAGGATAGTCTGGGGTTGTCCTGTTGGGGCGTACGAGTGGGAGAAGTTCGAGAGTTGTCCTGTTGGGCAGAAGAGGTTCTGAGGTTTTCTTTTTGGGTGGTTCTGGAGGGAGAGGAAACTTGAGGATTGTTTCGTTGAGTGGAAGAGGTTCTAGGGTTATCACGATGGGTAGTTCGGGAAGGAGAGGAAGCTCTGGGATTGTCCTTTTCAGTGCATGAGGCTCTGGAGTTGTCCTGTTGGGTGTTTCGGGGAGGAGAGGAGGCTCGGGGTTTGTCTCGTTGTGTAGAAGTAACCTGGGCAATGTCCCGTTGGACAGAGCGATGGGGAAAGGAAGCCTGGGGGATGGCACTTTGAGCTCCACTCTGTGGTGCTGTGGAGGAAGCCTGGGTTGGCGCTGATTGGAGCCTGTCCAAAGAGAAGTACCCACTTTCTCCCTGGAGTTTTGCCCAGTGCTGTCTCCCAGAGCTTGTGTCTGGAGAGAGAAGAGGGAGGCACAAGGTAAGAGGAGAGGTCCAGCCACTCTCACAGCCTACCTTTCTTCGTCCCTTAGGACAGATGATCAGGCAAGACCCCACACCCTTTTCCTTAGAGACCCCACTGTCCATACCAAGTGATGCACCCTTCTGACTAAGGACAACTGGACAAAGGGCTGGAGTCAGGAATTTGGGATTAAGACTGACTGACACAATCAGGTGGGGCAGACTCCAGACCTGGAAGGTCACACAGTGAAGGCTCACAGGCAGAGAAGACCCAAACTCCCAGAGAAAAGTTTCTGCAATTGGACCCCAAGAAAGTCCCTCAGTTTCTATTGATGAGCCTCTTTCACGTGGAAAAGCTCTAGAAAGCACCTCTTCCTTGTTCCCCAAAGGACCCTACCCCAGAGGCTCCTCCCAGGGCTGCCACAAGGATGGGCGCTGGAGTGCAAGAGCCTTGGTGACCCATGTAAGGCTCACCATTCAAAGTGTGGTCCATGCTCTGACAGCATCAGCTTCACCTGGAAGTTTTCCAGAACTGCAGAGGGCCCATCCGACACAGAGTATCAGAACCAGCCTCTAACAAGATCCAGGTTCAGAAGTGCTGCACCAAGGGATTAACAGAATTGCCCTTTCACAACTCCCATCCCAATGATGGGATCACCATGACCCCATTGTCACCCTCCACGCCCTCAACCCTTTGGTCATCAAGCATGGGTTGGCAACGAGCTGTGCAACTGTCACTGGGCTGGTGCTTCAGGAGAGAAGTAAGGGGTATTGTGGCTTTATCTTGAAGGAGCCACAACTGTGCTCATTGAAGACCTTGTTTAAGATGCCCTCACCTCTTCTGCTCAAAGCCTGCCTCCGCCAACCTCTCTGAGCTGGAATCCTCGAGGGCTGGCTTCCCAGTGTCAAGCAGGGACAAAGCACAGAGCAGCATGACATACCATGGTCCCTGATGGCTGCCACCTGCATGCCCCGGATTTCCTTAGCTGCCCTCCAGCTGGCCCTGACTCACTGGCAACCCCACGCACAATGGAATGAAGCACTGCTCTGTCCTCACCATCCCCGTGACAGGTTGCAGATTGCACTGTTATGATGCTTAGGGTTTGGTCTGGCTGATTTTCAGAGTAGATTGCCAGGCCTTTCTTCCTAGTTTGCCTTAGTCTGGAAGCTCAGCTGAAATCTGTTCGGCATCACAGCGATGCACAGCCTCCACTGACAGATGGGTGGCGGCTGGTATTCAAACCGCGTCTCCTGGATGGAAGGCGAGAATTTTACCACTCAGCTGCCAGTGGCCCCTGCATACCCCCGAACCATCCAGAAATACATTTCAGATCTGTCTGTCTCACCAAACTCAACTGGCATAACATACTACACAAAAACATTGTCCCACATCCTACATTGGTGAGTAGCAACTGGGGTCTTAAAAGCTTGTAAGCAGCCATCTAGATGCATCAATTGGTCTCTCCTCATCCAGAGCAAAGAAGAATGGAGAAAAACAAAAATGCATGGAAAAAATTAGTCCAAGGAAACAACCTAGATGTCCATCAACTGAGGAATGGATAACCAAACTATGGTACATACACACAATGGAATACTATGCAACGCTAAAGAATAATGTAGAATCTGCAAAACACTGCATAACGTGGATGAACTTGGAGGACATTATGCTGAGTGAAATAAGTCAATCACAAAAGGACAAATATTGTATTAGTCCGTTATTGTAAAAGTTAAGGAAAGGTTTATCTATAGAAGGAAATTTTCTTTGTTGGTTACCAGGAGTGGGAGGGGAGGGAAGGGAACGCTGTTAGATAGATAGAGATAAGTATTGATTTGGGTGAAGAGAAGGGCGATGTACGAAATGTGAGTGACCAATATGGCAGCACTGAGGATGAGAAAGACATAGAGAGGTACATGGGAGGTACAGACAACAAATATGAACCCTTTTGCACATACAGTACTGCGTTGTCAATGAAGGCAAACATGGGTATATGGATGGATAGATGGGTGGACAGGCTAAATGATTAGGTATGTCTATGAAATGGGGAGTATATCCAAGAACATATATAGGGTTGGCAGACAATGGTCTTATAAGTTTATGTGAATGATCAGAATTCCCAGGTGTATAGTAGAGCTGACAAGAGGCAAGGTTGTGGTCACTGCTTGGTCACATAGCCAGCTACCCAGAGGGACCGAGTAATTGAACATGTGGGCATGGGACCATAGTTGAAGGGGACATCAAGCTCAATTGGCATAACATACTATACAAAACATTGTTCCACCATACTATACAAAACATTGTTCCACCTCCTACTTTGGTGAGTAGCGACTGGGATCTTAAAAGCTAGCAAGCTGCCATCTAGATTCAGCAATGGGTCTCTCCTCATCCAGAGCAAAGAAGAATGAAGAAAACCAAAATTCATGGAAACAATTAGTCCTAGCGACTGGTACACCATCCGATCTGCAGCCTATATGACTATGAGACCAGAAGAACTAGATGGTGCCTGGCTACCACTGTCATCCACTTGGAAGGGGATCTATGTAGGAGATCCTTGATAGAGAGGGAGAACAATGTGGAACAAAACCCAAAATCATTTGGAGGGGAAAAAAAAGGTGGGGGGGACCAGGATTGCTGGTCCAATAGAGCCTGGTGGAACCACTGAGACTATGGTCTCTAACTGCCCTTCAGGTCTGGAATTGAACCCACACCTGTGGTTTCCAGCCAAACAAAATACAGGCATATGAGTTAAACATTTACCTCAAGTAGACACACTCCTTGGAGAGAATAATCATGGGAGAAAGAAGGGCTGCTTATGCACAGGGAGACAGCTCAGGGGGCAGGAGTGTATGGAGGGATGGACACTGGGAAGAGGTAACTATGGGGTAAATAGGTGGGAGGGGAGCTGTTGCATTGTGGTAAACTGTGGTTAATGACATGAGACAAAAGTATATGTGAACTGCTGTATGGAAAGTGAATTTGCTCTGTAAATCTTCACCCAAATCACAATTCAAAAAAAAAAAGTCTAAGGGACTAGTGGACCATGAGAACCCCAGGAACTCTGAGCCCAGAAGAAGTAGATGGTGCCCAGCCATCACTGTCAACCACTCAGAAATGGATCAGCACAGGAGATCCTGGAGAGGGTAGGAGAACAATGTGGAACAAAACTCAAAATCATAAAAAAGACCAGGTTTACTGGTCTGATAGAGACTGGTGAAGCCCCCAAGACTATGGCTCCTAGTCACCCCTCAGGCCTGGAATTGAACTCATTCCTATGGCTTCCAGCCAAACAACAGACAGGTGTATAAGGTGAACATTTACACCAGGTAGGAGCTCTGCTGGCATAGTGCCTGAGGCATTTGATTGCTAACCAGAAGGCTGGTGGTTCAAACCCACCAGCCACTCCTTGGAAGGAAGGTTGGGCAATCTACTTCTGTAATGATACTGCCTTGGAAACCTACAGAAGGGTCGCTATGAGTCAGATCTGACTCCACGGCAGTGAGTTTGGTTTTTGGTTTTTGAGGTACACTCCTCAGAACGACAACAACAACAAAAAAAAAATCCTCACAACGGGACCAATAAGCAACATCGTGAGAAATGGAGAAAATATTGAAGTTGTCAAAGACTTCGTATTACTTGGTTCTACAGTCAACACCAATGGAAGCAGCAGTCAAGATATCAGACATCGCATAGCATTGGACAAATCTGCTGCAAAGGACCTCTTTGAAGTGCTGAAGAGCAAAGATGTTTCCTTGCAGACTAAGGTGCACTTGACACAAGTCATGGTATTTTCAATCGCCTCATATGCATGTGAGAGCTGGACAATGAAAAAGGAAGACCAAAGAGTCGATGCTTTTGAGTTGTGGTGTTGGCAAAGAATGCTGAAAGTCCCATGGACTGCTAAAAGAACAAATCCATCCTGGAAGACGTGCAGCCGGAATGCTCCTTGGAAGCGAGAATGGCCGAATTTCGTCTCACCTACTTTGGTCGTGTTGTAAGAAGGGACCATTCCCTGGAGAAGGATATCATGCTTGGCAAAGAGGAGGGACAATGAAAACAGGGAAAGCCCTCAACAAGATGGATTGACACAGTGGCTGCAACCATGGGCTCAAGTATAGCAAGGACCATGGAGCTGGCGCAGGACCGGGCAGTGTTTCGTTCTGCTGTGCGTGAGGTCGCTATCAGTCGGAGACGACTCGATGACACCTAACAACAACCACCTTAGAACAATCAACCATGGGAGGTCAGAAGGGCAGTATTTGCACAGAGAGATAGCTCAGAGGGCAGGAATGCATAGGAAAGAAGGACACAGGGAAAAGGTAACCACAGAGAGGAAGTGGGACGAGAGCTGTTACATTATGGGATTTGTTCTGGTTACCTAGTGCCAGGCTCTAGGGGCTGGGTGAAAGTCCCTCAACCTTGGGCTACAGCTCTGCCTCCTGCTCCCCGCCCACTGAAGCTGAAGGCTTTTCTTCACTCAGCTGCTGGCTGCTGAGGCTGACAAACCCAAGGTTGACAAGTAAAAAGACACAGTCCCGATGTTACCAACAACACAGCAGCCGTTACTTCAAGTCCATTGTAAGTTCCAAGGTCGGCAGAGCATGGCAGGCTGCTGAACGACGACTTGGCTACATACAGGGTACAAGCATGCCATCAGCTAGAGACGGTTCCCCAAGGCTTCTGCTTGTATACAGGAAGCAGACCACATCTCTAAGGCAGCTACTCAGTTGCTCCCAGTAGATTCCACCATGGAGTTGATTACCAGTCTCATCATGGGGAATATTACATCCAGCTGCCCAGCCACTCAACTAGGCCCAGCCAGGTTGACACACAAACTTAACCACCACAGGACTGAAATCAATGTCATGAAACAAAATGTGTATGAACTGTTGTATG